CATCACGACTCAAAATATCCTCGGCAAGACCGTACGGCTGTCTGTTACCATCCGACGACGTCACATAAACAACGTTCACGCTCGCTGGATTCGTCCAATGTGAGACTGTTTTTCCGTTTGTGCCCAACCAATATATCAAACCTACAACAACAATAAACCAATACTCTTCCATCGACTATTTACGAATACGTATTCACGTTCTCATTAAATTTTCATTAGCACATATTTCTGAAATATGCTCGCTAATCTATGTAAAAATGTAAAAATATTGCTATACAAATTATTGACGAATATAATTACCGAGTAATTTTCCCTCAAAAAAGAAAAATAATTTTGATTTTGAATGTTGACTAATGTAAAAGAAGAAATTTGTTACACTACGGAAATAAACAATTCAAAAGAGATCAATACCTTGATCATCGAAATCACTCGAGTATGTGAACGTGATCTTCGATGACGTTCTCTTCGCCTCATTGATCAGCTTCACGAAAGCGAACGTTTCCCGATCACGATCGTACCATTGTTTCGCGACCATCCGCAGAATGTAGTTTTTCAGCTGACCAATCGTTGTCAACGGTTCCGTCTTCATTGTGCGACCAGTCCTGCAAATGTCAATGCATTCACTTTATGCACATGACAATTATGCAACTTAAAACAAACTCAATTGCACATTTCGTACACACAATAATCAATGAAGGAATGACAAATCGAAAAAAAAAAAGATGTTGAATTAGAATCTAAAAACAATAATTCAGCAACAGCTAAACAATCAATACCTGTCCAATAAATGCTTCTGTTTCGATGATTTTGCGTTATTCTGTTGTTGTTCTAATTTCAACTTGATTCGACGACTCAGCAGTTGCAATCCAAATGAAGATCCACCAGGCGTATCGTAAAGATACTGCGGGAACTTCTCGACTGTCTCCAGTACCAAAACCATTTTACGAACAAGCGAAGTTAGCGATCGATTATCAGAGAATACCTTAAACCGCGGTGTTATACGGCAAACGCAATCAATCCTCCGCAACAAAACATCTATTCACTGAATTGAGTGAATGATTAATCAAACAAGTAAATGAACATCACTCGATGTCGAAACGAAACATTCAAAAAGACGAACCTTTCTAAAAAGAATCGCCGCATCAGATTCGTTGTTGTTTTGAATCACATGTAGAAGTGACAGCAATGAAGAAACAATCCCCGAGATCGACAACTCAAACGTCGACAGAACCGTTTCGTTGGTTATTGCTTCGTAAACGCATCGTAAACAATTCTCTACATGTTGCTTTTCACTCAATTTGCTCTTACGCATACTACCGTCTTTATGCGACTCACAGAACTCCTTTAATAATAAATATATTACTATTCATATACTCTACGCCAATTCAGAATGTCTATCAGCCAGGACACCTGTTATATTATTCTCAAGGAAGGGAATATTCCCATTTGAAGATGAAAAATTCTACTACACATAATACAGTTCAATCAACTACAAATACGACTGATAAACCTGAAGGGAGCTGGATGCTTTCTGCAATTGCACCAATGCATCTCGTGGTCTCATTCGTGCCTCTTTCAAATAGTTATCCCACAACTCTTTTGCCAGTTCTTGCAATTTCGCTTTCTGTGCCTCAGCTCGGAATCTCAGTCGACGTCCTCCACCGCGCGCTGCCCATCCGGTAACGAAATCCAGTCCTGAACATAAACCATCCATTTGAAAGCCGTTCAAATTTCAGCAAAAATCTTTCGTACTTGCACAAGTTTATCCTAAAGTTTTATCCTAAATATGTCTCAAGTTTTCACAGTAATAACAGAACAATACTCAAAAATTTCACAACAGACTAAATCATAGTCAATGTGATTGCATATTCTGCCTGGATGATCTAAACAATCAACCGAATGTTTCATTCAATTCCTATGACATCCATCTCTTATGAATCTTATGAAGAAGACGAAATGATATTTTCATTTCAACAAAAATGAGACCGTACGTACGACTGATAAAACTAATGTGACCAATTACAATCTCATAATATACTAACAATAAGCAAATGATAAATAATTAATGATAAATCTCAAGACAAACCAAGAGTAGATTCTGCTTGGAAACAATGTTTTGTGTGACGATTCGACTCGAATATGAATCCGGGCAGATCTTCCATTATATACATTCGTTGTTGATTGCCATCTCGATTCGTCACAGTCAATTCGCCGATTTTCGGTGATGCCAATATCCAGTTACCGACTTCTATCTGAAAGCAGTGCATTTATTTGATGAGTGCTATTGAAGTGACAAATAAATGATATAAGAAAACACGGTTTTACGTACAGTTTTCTTTGCATTCGGCACAGTGAGGATCGAGCACAGAGCCGTACCGGATGGAACGGCACCACGCGCCTTCGTCAACTTATCAATGAACTCGCCGCGGGTTTCCGCACTATCAGCGCCCGATTCTGGATTTCCACTGCTGAAGATCGATTGAAATTAGAATAGAACAATCATTACTTAGGACAATAAGATCATCACCACTCACAATAATGCTCCATAATCCAACTGATCTTAATGGTAGATCAAAATTTATTTCAAAAAAAGAAACAGCAGTGAATAGCCGTATCAACACTGACCTGTACATGGTGCTCAGTTGTCCGTCAAGCATAAATCTGAACCATCCGTTACTTCCATCACTGAAATTCGTTCCAAACCAAATAAACATCTTGGATGTATAATACCGCATAAATTACGCATAATTCAATTCAATACTATTCACAAGTAAACAATCAGAAAAATATCGAACATATCATTACAAACTGATTTTCACTGAATGAAATACTTTCCTTATCTGATTCATAAACGATAACACAATTACAAATAATAATAATAACAACTACAAAAATAATAATGACCTGAATTCCACAGCGACCGCATCACACCAAATAAACAACGAATCACGACTCTTTATCAATCGCCAGTCCTTCCACCGGTAACTCTTCCCTTCGACAATCTCGTTACAGTCATCCGCCGCTATGGACACTTCATCCGTCGCTCTCGCAGATGCGATTTTCTTCACTCCTTTCGAAATCGCCTCTGAAATATTCACCCGCTTATTACTCATCTATCAATCTCACACCCACAAAATTACATTCATTATTTCATGACAGCTCAACTAACTCCCAGTCAACGTTACATAATCTAAAAATAAAGGGCTTTCATTGATCTCATACCAAAAAATCACCACTTTTAAATATCTCCGATCAGACCGCAGAATCGATCAGAATCATATCAACACGAATGCTGTGCTAATGAAAAACAACTAGATCATAACAGATTGTACCTTTAATGTGAGCTTTTTCCTGACTTTTAGTGCTAGTTGGCGTTTGTCGTAGTTGTTGACTGCTAGAAACTTCGGCTTTGTCACTGGATTGCGATTTTGGCTCAGAGGGCTTAGATGATGATATTGGTGCTGGTGCTGATGGCGCTGTGCTGCCCAAATCCCCTCTTGATTCATCAGCATCTTCTTCATCCACCTGAACACTTATTTTGATTAATTGCTAATCTTATTCCGTATTCTACTGGTTGCTCATTATGTTAAAATTTTGATTGGCATTCATTTTATTATCATTTTAAATGTGAAAAAGTCATAAATACAATTTCTAAAATCATCACAAAACAATTCCGAAATTCAAATATCCACTTGTTATTTCACGATCACAACAACAACTATGATAAAATAACTACAATATCGCTGCAGTGATGCCGAAAAGAAACGACAAACCTCAACAGGCACGTCAAGCATGACGGCTGCTTGACTAGTACTATCAGTAGACGTAATTGAAGTACCGACCGCTTTATTCGTTCCATCGGTGGCTGCAGGTGCTGCTGACGGGGCGGTAGCACTCGGCGATTCACTGCTTGAATTCAAATGATCCCCTGATTCTGTGGGTTCGGGTTGATCTGCTTTTGAAGTTTTGCTCGGTTCTGTTGCGCTTTTGGAATCTGAAGTTTCTTTCTGTGACGTCCATTCCCAAACCTTCTCAGGTGAATATTTAACCGCCATCTGACGATTCCTTTCCTTTCGCATATCATTAGGCATTCAACCACATGCAACCAATTAGAACCGTTTTCCCGTCGACAGAATAAGAGAGAAAAAGAACAACAAAAAAAAAAAATCCAACAGCTTTCCATCAAGTTCGCGAAGCGACATAAATAAAT